AAAATAAACATGGATTTTAAAAAATCAATCAATGGTGCAAAAGAAAAAAAAACTTAAAGCAAAATAGTATTTGCTGAACTCTTAGGCACATCAAGTAATTGATTCCTCGCGACATCTTCTCAACCTTATCAAGGATTTTCATGTTGATGACTCGAAACTGACAGTATTAAGGGTAGGATGTTGCTTCTGAATCACTGTTGAGTTCTGATTGTGTCGAAGAAGGGTTATCCTTTCATTAGGCAAAGTACAAAATTGCCTATAATACTTGCAACTAAGGACAAATTAGCATGCAAGCTTGGTCAAACTTTTTCCAGCAACTTGGAATCAAAGACAAAAGAAACTTACCAATTGATGTTTTACGTGCAAACAACCTGAATCTTTTTTTTATATAAATATATATTTTTCAAATAGATTTTTGATTCAGCTCATTATGAAAAACATCCCAAACTTTAAAATGCGAAATTATTGGTTGGTGTGAAGAAAGCCAGACAACTTCTGTTTCTTCTCTTGGTGAAATAATAAAATGCAAATGAATCATTGTTAACCACAGCTGTGGCTCGTTTGAGGGATTGGGGTGGACCTGGGGTTTATTTTCAGTAACCCAGCTGCAATACCTGTCTGTAATATGAGAAAACAAAAAAGAATCTATTTAATCATTTCTACTTGCAGTACTGCTATGTGCTAAGCTTAACTGGAAGCCTTGGAATGGGCATAAGTTGTATGTCCTACATTTCATCATTGTCCCGGGCCTGCATTGCACTGGAAAAAAAATCGCCACCTGTTCTTATACCAGTATTTGGTTCAAGATGCCAAATGTGCTCAGCCTTTGGCTGAAGAACAAGAGAGTCAGGATAAAAAATACATACTGCGGTCGGCAAGGTGAGGGAGATAGGGATATCCAGGGGAAGAGGGTGTTGCTGTGGCCCACTCTCTGTCTAATCTCTTTACAGCAAATTGGTAAGATTTTCAGTTTTACTTCTTTCTACTGTTTCTGCTGTCTACTTTCCTTATATTTTTTTCCTCAACAGTTTTAAAAAGAAAAAAAGGTCTATTTTTTTTTCTCCTATACTGGGGCTACATTTTTTGATTGTAAAAATATTTGATGGCCTTTTGATGAATGTCTTCCACAGTAAATAAGAAAACTTAGTGACTTAATTTAGGAAACATGTTAACAGGACACTATGTTTTTGAAATTGTAACAAAATCTACATAAATGATTTACAGGTACAAAGAATAAAAATAAAGGTAACTTTACCTTTCTTAAATATTTCCTGCCTTAAAGAGAGCATTTCCATGACTTTAGCTGGTGAAAGGGTTTAATATCTGCAGAGCTTTATAAAAATATATTTCAGTGCATACTGGTATAATAGATGATCATGCAGTTGCAGTTGAGTTCTATCACCTGTTTTTGTTTGTCTTTTATAATGTCTTCAGTCTGAGTGTGCAAAGTCAATTTGTAGTATTTTGCAACCCTAGGATTTTTTTAAATAGATGCTGCTTGCTATGTTTTCAAACCTTTTTGAGCCATAGGATCCAAGCCATAAAATTCTTTATGCATGTTGAATTCAGTCAGAAAAGAGCAAGGCTTTGCTTTTTGAAATTGCAACTCAAATGAGATGGGATGAAATCCTATGACAGTAAGCAAAAACAGAACCATGAAAAATGATTGGAAATATACCTTTTCAATTGTGGCAATAATTGAAAGAATAGATAAAAGCTCATCTTCGGACAGAAAGCCTTTTTAAAAAAAAATCACTCCCTCTTACCCCTCCTCCCTTATTACAGCAGCCTACTGAGAACTTTATGACTGTTGCTGGTAAATTAGAAGCTACAATAATAATTAAGGGCAGAAATTATACTTTAAAGTGCAGATCCTTGTTCTCTGACAATTTGTGATATCTGAAAAAACAGAACCCGAAAAGCTATGGTGATATGTACAGGCATTATTTCAGACTGTAAATGGCTTGTGATACTCTTAATACTTACTTTCAAATATGTTTACTAACTGTAGTGTTGACTGCCTGACCAAATTCCAGTGAAACTTATACACCAAAATATTCCTCCTAGGTCCTATTTGCTAGTAACACGAGCACTGTGATTGGCTGGCTATAACCACCCCAGTTAAACCATTTTCATAATTAGTAGTGCCAGCAATAGTGGCAAACACTGCAACTTTTCTGCATAAAAAGCATTAATTGCACAGCTATCATCCACACAAATACATAGTTTTTCTGACTTCACATTTATTAAGTGAAATTTATTTCCCATGCTGTGGAAAGTTTATTGAGAACTTGTTTCATAAATGGATATCCCTACTATGACTGTGAAAACATGTCAAGTGTCACATTAGTGTCACAGACAGAAAGCACACACCTATGCAATATGGCTTATCTATATTTATTTGTAAAAATCCAAGCATAGTTTAAAATATGATGTCGATATTACTAGTCTTGAGTTTCTAAGAGGGTTCTTTATGATTATACCAGGTAAGTGTATAAAAGAGATTAAGTGCTTTTTTTTCATCACTTGATTATTTTCTTTAAAATCAGCTATTACAGGATATTTTTTTATTTTATACATGATGTTTTTTAATTAAAATATAATCACTGAATTGAAGTTTACTAATTTGATTTTATAAGGTTTGTAGCATTACAGAGTAACTAAACTGGGATTTATAAACCAGCTGTGATTAACAATGTAAAGTATTAATTATTGAACTTTGAACCAGATTTTTAGGAAAATTATGTTCCTTTTTCCCCTTTTATGGTCTTAACTAATTTGAATCCTTCAAGAAGGATTTTTCCATACTATTTTTTGGATAATTTGAGGGGAGGGGTGGAGGATGCATGTATGATATTCCATAAATTCAACATTCTTTACTATAGGTGATAAATGATTATAAACAAGATGCATCTTAGATAGTATTAATATACTGAGCCTTGGATTATATATTTAATATAGGACCTATTTTGAATATTCAGTTAATCATATGGTTCCTAGCTTACAAGGGCTAGATCTAAGATTATTCCCTTGAGAAATGTTGAATTTATGAAGAATAGATTTTAAGGCTTTGAAAATGGTTAATTTTTCAAAAACATCAATGTCCAAACATCTACCTTTTTCACAGGAGTAGACACTAGCAAGCTGGACAAACTATCACAAAAGTATTTGTCACACATAACCTGTGGTCTGTTGCTGATTAATACAGTACTTTTTCTTGTGTGATTCTTAACATTATAGCACAAGTATTATCTCAGTGGATTATCTGGAATAACATCTGAAAGATGGGTTCGTCTATGTTTGTGTTTGCTCTTTAAACTATTGTTTCTCCTATCCCAAGTTGGCTTTGCATCTATCAGTAAATAAAATTCTTCAGCTGCCTTATTAGGAGTGCTATGAGGGTAACACCTTTTCTGCTTTTCATCTTGTATTTAGTTTACTGTATTATTTGATTTCGGATTGAATGAATGTAAATAGAAATTAAATGCAAATTTGAATGAACATAAAATAGAAGTGATTTATTTTTTATTATCCTACGATAGGAAGAAATTAGTATATATATCAGGTGTATAAATGGTTTAAATTTATTTTCATTAACATGTCAGATGTGTTCAAGTTGTCATATAAATAAACTATGTAAGGAATGGGTTAAAAGCTGTTCTGCTGAGAAATTGAAGCTATTTAAGTATGTAACAAGTTTACTGATTTTTATGTTAAATGTTACACATCTTTCATTTTCATGTCAGATAGTAGACATGAATTGTTTACTTAAAAAAAATACATGTAACAACCTACGTGAAAGCTAGCTTCACAAAAAACTCTAGGAAGACCTTCTTGTGCTAACAATCAACAATTTGTTCAGCCATACTTGGTCAGCTACATTTGAAAATTTGATGTGTATGCACAAAATAACGTAGTGAACAAATCTGTTTTAATTTAATGTCTCAATATATCCAGTGTAAGCTGGGTATTCTGCACAAACCACTTCTTATCTGTGAGGTAATTATACCACACTTGCCAAGGGAATTTCTCTACAGAAGCTCTCAAACTGATTTTACCTTGCTATACAACATAGTAGCATACCAATACTGGTAAAACAATCTTTTAGAAGTCATGATTTGAATTCAGAATAAATGAGTTTCTGAATCTATATTACCTTTTTTTGAGGTGAAGGAATAGAGGGATGGAAGAAATGCTTCCAGTTCATCAGCATTGTTATTGGATGGCATAGCTCCATTAGATTTTCTCCCTTTTCAATTTATAGGTAAACTGCATTTCCCCCAAAAATAAAAAACCCACCATGCACCTCCTTGGTTATTTAATCACATTAAGAAACAGTACTGTCTGAATAGTTACAGGGTAAACAAATGTATTACATAGGCATTGTAATAGGGCTGAAGTAAAATGCTATTCTTGTGTTTGAACAGGAAGTCATCTTGGCTATCCGTCACAGCCGAATTGTAATCCCAAATTGTTTTTCTCACCCATCCTCTGCTGTATACCTAAATAATACAACTATTAGCATCACCAAAAAGCCATTTAAATATTTGTAGTGGGTTTCAAAGTAGATAACAAAGTGAAATATACTATAATTGAATACAGTTGTACTTACAACCTGGTAGTATTTACCTGGAGAAAAAAAGGTACAGGCTTGCTAATGTTCATGTGTCAATTTCGATGGCCATACAGTCATGAAAGTGCCTTCTATAACCAGTTGGTCAGTATCCTTATTAATCCACGTGCTGGTTTAGCTTTTGTCTTACCGGTACAGCAAATTTGTTTTCTATCTCTGCTTCCTAAGTTCTCCTTTCTACCACCTTTTCCTCGACTACAAACTGATAGATGTACTCTAAACTTAGATATAAGCACTAGCAGCCCTTCAGACATGTTTTAGATTTCAGATTCCTCCTTAGAGGTAACAAGGGGAGAAAGTGCTTCATTCCCTTTTCTAACACCCTGCACAAATACCCAGAGGCAAAAAACCACACTATAAAACCTCATGACCACCTCTCAGTGCAAGCTTTAATCTTCCAATTGATGGTGATGCAAGCATAAAATTCCAAAACTTTTATGGAGAAGACTAATTATAAGGGCAATTCTTCTAAGATTTTAGGGCATCTGCCTTGAAACTTTTTTCTTTTTTTTTTAAATAGAGATGGGATGTTGCTCAGGCTGGTCTTGAACTCCTGGGCTCAAGCAGTCCTCCTGCCTCTGCCTCCCAAAGTGTTGGGATTACAGGTGTGAGCCACCATGTTTTTTATACTATTCAAATCATGAAGTAAGCCAGCTGTTTGTAATCCACATGAATTATTTTAATAGTTACTTCAAGATACTCCATGGTACTATACAAAAAGCATGATCATGAACATTAAAGCTGATGGCAGGAAGAATTTATGACGTCCACAGACAAAATGAATCCATTTATTTTCACTGATTACTAGTCTTACTACAGAGAATAATACAGTACTAAAATGTATCATCCTCAGTAAATTAATCTTCACTTAGAAAATCTGTTACTGATAAAATATAACATTTAGAATTTTCATTTAAAAATACAAATTTTATGAAAATATTAATTTTTAGGATGGGAATTATAAAAGTCAATGCTGAACAAAATTCTACTTTTAGATAGTATGTATCTTAAAATATTATGAAAAATATTCTTTATTCTGAAAACAATATCAGGAAAGAATACCTGAGTTCTCTAAATCCACTAGTTCTAATTTCAAATTGCTGTTTTGGGTAACATTAAGAAAACACATTTACAATTTAACACTGCAGTTACCTGTCAAATAATTAGAATAGAATAAATGTTGCATACACATTAGGTTAAACATTATATATATTTTAAAATAGGGTTCTTTCATTTAATCTTTTGGTGAATTGCACCATAAGTCTTACATTCTAAAACCATCTGGAAACATTTTTCTTGCAGCCCTGAAAATCATTCTGATGCCTTATCAGAAGTTATGACCAAATGACATTAGTATTTTGTGGCCTTAATAGTTAATACAACTTAATATATTTGAAGGTGTGATGAAGTGGCTCCATCTTTCCATTTGTTTATATGGTCTGAAATCACAGTTCTGCAGAGTGGACATGTTTTCTCTCTGTTAAACCATAAGGTAATGCACTCTTCACAAAATACATGCTGTAATGGAATTAAGAATTAGATTTTATACTTGATGATAATTTTAAATCCATCACATTGTAGGGAATGAAAGGGATTCTTTTTTTTTTTGAGATGGAGACTGGAGACTTGCTCTGTCACCCAGGCCGGAGTGCAATGGCGCCATCTCGGCTCACTGCAACCTCCGCCCCCCGCAGGTTCAAGCGATTCTCCTGCCTCAGCCTCCCAACTTGCCGGGATTACAGGTGCCTGCCACCACCATGCCCAGCTAATTTTTGTATTTTTAGTAGAGACAGGGTTTCACCATGTTGGTCAGGCTGGTCTCGTACTCCTGACCTCAGGTGATTCACCCACTTGGGCCACCCAAAGTGCTGGGATTACAGGTGTGAGCCACTGTGTCCAGCCTGAAAGGGATTTTGAAGAGCACTAATCCCCTCATTTTACAATTGTGAAAATGGAGAACGTATGAGACATTCAAGAAGCAAAGAGCAGTATGATTGGCACTAGTGTTCTGGCTGTACCATCCATTTAACCATAAAAGTTATACTTAGGTGACACCTTTAAGATTAAGTGTGATAACAGCTTAAAGTCTTGGAGTTACTAGTAACTGCCATAAAGTGTAGGAAAGGGCCACAATCCAGTAACAAATGGTGGTGTTCTAAATGGCTAGTATCCAATTATAAAAATAGCCTGTTTTTTAATCACTTTGGTATTCAATCTGCCGGTTAAATTATTTTTCCCTTTCTAACACTCCTCTGCATAAAAATTTTCAGAATATAAGGGACAAAGCCAATCCACCAATCCCCGATAATGAATAAATGACTAGTATGTACACTGAATGCTACCTTCCACTAAACACTAGATTTTTTTTTGCCTTACAACAAACATAAATGTGACTTTTGCAAGTCACAGAAAAGTGTTGTATTTAAGTTTTTAAATTTAAAAATATAATTACCTGACAGATGAGAAGAACTGGCTTCTGAAATTCAGCTTGACATATTGAACAAATATCATCCACATCTGAACACTGTCTCTTGCTGGCAGCCACTCCATAACTCTATGAAGATAGTAAGTTCTGTTCATCTACAAATTTCTTTCTTTCCTGTTCTCAAATTACATAAGTGATGCTGTACTTCTCAAATCTCCCTGGAACCAGGCATTTGAAAACCTTCCCAAAGGATACAAACATTTCAAAACTGAACTACATATACAGAACCACCTCTTGAGTGTACCAAGATGAAATCATTAGATAATACATAACAGGATTTTGGAAGATTGTTAGATCTACTAGCTTTCCAAAGGATGACAGTGCTTCAAATTCAACATAACTAGCTTAAGAGACTAAGCAATCTGAAACATAACTATTATAAAATCTATAGCCATGTATTATTTGACCCTGGACTGCCAAATGGAGCTCACTTATTACCTGCAGCAGTGGTTCATAAAATCAGTCCAGCTAGAGCTTGGCTGGCTGAAGGTAACTACGTGGAAAGCTTGCTTTAAAAATAGATTCCTCTGTTCCACACAATATTGATTCAGTAGGACCAGACATATTGGGATGTGACCCAGTAATCTACTATTTGAAAGGTCTCCAAGTGACTGCAATATGAAGAAGACTTAGGGACCACTTAAGAGTGTTCTGCCGCTAGGTCTAAAAATTATTCCAAATTATAAAAAGCATTTAGTGCTAAACATGAAAAAGTTTTACAGAGAAACTGCAACTGTAAATGTCGCTTGGGTAGAATAACTACTGTGAAAACTAACTGAACAAAAATGCAATTATTTGAATTTTCTTCTCTTCTAATGTCCTAATAACAAGTTTCTCATCTCTAAGATTTTAAATTCCTCACCAGATTCAGAACTTAGTCATTAACTAGATGTGACGTTAATAACCCTCAGTGAAATTTGGAGAAATCAAAATGTTACAGATGAAACCTGCTTTCTGTAGAAATGATGGGGAAGAGGTAACTAAAGAGATGTAAAAACACCCAAGTTCAGTCACGGTCATGAGGGTAAAACATGACTTAACATATCTGAAGTTACGTAAACTTCTTGTACTAAACGTCTCAGGCTAACAACATCAAAATCAAAGTAAAACTCAAAGGAAAAAGATATTAAAAGTTAGGTCTTTTTGAGACTGGTGATAAAGATTTCAGAAACAAGTCAGAATACTGTTAGATGATCTTGGTGTCAATTTCCCTTCAGTAAAGTATCATTTAGCAAAGTACATGTGCAGATAATTATGCTGACAAGCTTTTAAAACATTACTCATCTGGCATCTTGGAGACTCCCTCTCCAGATAGTAACTGCCATTTCCCTGGTAAAGGAGACTTGAACAAATCAAAGTATTGATGACTGATATCCTCTCTATAGTTTGTCTCAGAGAAAGAATATCAGGGTATTTTCTTGAGAGTATTTCGGCACAAATCTTACAAGACCAATTATAGTAAAATGGTTGATGCTCACATAATCATCAGTTGAACTGACTTGGACAAAGCTGAACTCTCTGAATTTTATTATGTCTTGTCTAGAGAAAGAAGCTTACATAGCATGTAGCAAAGTTTGTTTCTACATTGCTAGCTCTATCTTAGGGAAAAGATGCCCTGGCCAGTTAGTCTGGCTTACTTTGTAAACATAAAACATTTTTTTTTTTTTTTTTTACAGTATATTACTCTGTTGGCATTCTTTTAAGTCAGTCTCCTTGAGCCCTGGTGAAATGACTGCCAAGTTGAGAATCAAACCCTGAAATCTGGTGACCACATGTAGGTACTGGGAACCTTTCAGGCTACTAAGTAGTAAATTAGGGTTCTCTATTGACATCCTTTCACTGCAATTTGCAACATCATTAGAATCACATAATCATATTATAAATGACATCAGAGTCTCAATTAATTGTTAAATTTCATGCCATGAACTTATTTGTGCACATATAATCGAGCAATGGGGAAATCTGCTCCAGTAAGAAAACTGCAAGAGACATGATTTTTGGCAATGAGCTTTCTAAACATACACAATAAATTATAGTCAAAGGATTTTCACAGGTGAATAAGGAGTCAATAGGAACACGCAAAGCCCCCATTTGTGGATTAAAAAAGAGGAACAAAAGTTCATAAGATTTTTAAGGGTTTACAAGCCCTTAAAAATGTCAAATGGATTGAAGGGGCAAGAGACAAGTTCAAATATATAAGCACTCCAACAATTAGCAGGTGGTTGTCAATGTGTGATTCAAGAATCTGATCATAGAGTTAAAATTCCTAAATTATTATAGCCCCAAGTGCCAAAGTACTAGAAAATCATCAAAGTAAAAGAAAAGGATCATCCATTTATGAAATCCATTCTTGTAAAACTGCTGAACTAAAAAAATTTTAGCAATGAAGAAAGGTGAAGGTGTTTTTCTTAACTGATAAAAAGTACTTACTGGTTGTGTAAAAAATATTCGTAAAACCTGTCTGAAAGTTCTCAGATGCCCAAAAAATTCCAAAAGCTGAAAAGGGAAGTAAGAGATCATTTATTAATTCAACAGTCCTATCTGCTAAACCCAAAAACCAAAGCTGAAACCCCGTAACATCAAATCCTCATATTAACTTAATGCTCATATATGTCACAAGTAATCATTTTGTGCTGAATATTTTATTCAATTTGTAGATTTGAGCCATCTCAGCAAGCTGAAGTACATTTAAAAACCTAGAGTAACAATTTGATCAAGACAAATACAAACAACTATGTCAAAGTCAAAGTAATTTTATCTGATTCACGTTTTTAACATTTAGATTTTATTTTATTACTATTTTTGAGACAGAGTCTCACTCTGTCGCCCAGGCTGGAGTGCAGTGGCATGATTTCAGCTCACTGCAACCTCTGCTTCCCAGGTTCAAGCAATTCTTCTGCCTCAGCCTCCTGAGTAGGTGGGACTACAGGCGCCTGCCACCATGCCTGGCTAGTTTTTTTTCGTATTTTTAGGAGAGATGAGGTTTCACCATGTTGGCCAGGCTGGTATTGAACTCCTGACCTCGTGATTCGTCCACCTCGGCCTCCCAAAGTGCTGGGATTACAGGCGTGAGCCACTGCGTCTGGCCAACATTTAGATTTTAAAGTTTCAGAAAGTGATTATTAGGTTGAGGGGCACAGGCATGGAGCGAACAGGGCAAGGTACTCTACTAGTTTAAGAATTATGTGTATGACAGTGTTACTACCGAGGATGGGTATGTTCTATTCCACTTGTTTTCCCTACTTAGATAATCCACGCTATGTGAAAGTCTACTCCCGTTCCCTCCAATGAAAACTGAGGACCGCTGGATTAAGATAGTCTATTTCTGTTTCTCCATTTCTAAACAGAATAGAACCTGCTATTACTTCAAACTAGTGATACAAAGATAAACTATAAAACTGTTAAAGAGGAAAACAGTAGTATGTATCAGTAATCATTAATATGAATCATGCAGTGACAAGATTTGTAATGTTACCTACTTTTAGTATGAGGTAGAGTAAAGCCAGCAATATCCCAAGACTCCATCTAGTTACGTTAGCAAACTCCCCATAGCTTATAAGATAGCGAAACCAAACTGGTATGGGAACAAAAGTTCGGTAGTATTGACATAATTCTTCTAAAAGCATGTACCAGTAACCCTAAAAAATAAGAAAACAAATAGATCTACCCAAACTACTTAACTACATAGCATAAACAATACTAGACTGAGAACACTGAGTATATGATACAATAATATAAATAACTATAAAATTAATCTTCATAATGATTATGACTGAACCTCAAGCTGGTTCTCACATATTGCAGTCACTGAGTGGTCTGCTTTGAAAGAATTTCTAGGCTGGACATGGTGGCTCCCAGCACTTTGGGAGGTCAAGACAGGCGGATCACCTAAGGTCAGGAGTTCGAGACCAGCCTGGCCAACATGGTGAAACCCCGACTCTACTAAAAATACAAAAATTAGCTGGGTGTAGTGGTGGACACCTGTAATCCCAGCTACTCAGGAAGCTGAGGCAGGAGAACTACATGAACCTGGGAGGTTGCAGTGAGCCAAGATCACACTACTGCACTCCAGCCTAGGCAACGGAGTGAGACTCAGTCTCAAAAAAAAAAAAAATATATATATATATATATATATACACACACACACACACATATATATATATGTAGTGAAAATGTTTTATGTATATTGCAAATAAAACCTATGTGAGTATGTTTTTGCTGACTATAAAAATTTAACAGTTTTAACTGCCTATGGGAAACCACTGAATAATTGTATATAGTCAACTGTCAATTGATAATGCCTTGGAGAACAGAAGTACAAATCTAAATAGTTTCCCATATATGATGTGGGGACTGATTTTTAAATTATTCTGAAGCAAATATAATTCTGATTTTATCCAAATAGGTTAATAATCAGGTTCAAGTGCCTCAACAAATGGTTGCCAAGCTGAAATAATACAGATAATTAAAGCTAGTTAGCAAACTGACAAATTCCAAAAGGAGGATTCATTTAAACAAAGACTAAATAGCATTAATGTGATTCGTTAACATCACTCCAATAAAGCATAAGTTAGTTTCTTACCTTAGATTTAAAAGGCATGATGAAAGAAGGCACCAATAAAATAAGGCATTTTAAGCCCATGAAAAAGAATTTCAGAATGAAGTCTGTAATTCCAACAATCCAAAGTACTTCCCAGAAGCTCAAATGGTCCAAAGTAGGATTTAAAAAAATTAAGCTACCAAAAGAAAAACATCAGAATTTACCAGAGCAACATACAAAGGTAAAGTATTAATAAAGGGTTTTAATTTGCTACAAATATTTTGATATGTAAAAAATATGAATTTGGCAGGATGTCAGAGTTCACAATAATGGAATGGAGGATCATTTTGCTTATTTTAGAGAGACTTTTAGAATGTTTGGATTTTAGATCTTCCCTTTATAGAATAAGGAAAAAGTCTTCAGTTTGTCCTGGTTGACACCTTTCTAGCCTGTAAACGAGAAAAACTCATCAATACCAAACATCTGTCATGTTTTTCTTAACCAATTCCAATTAAGATTCCATCTCTTCCTTTCAGTGAATTGCTTGTCAAGATCATCAACTCCCTCTGTATGGCTAAATTTCAAGGTCACTTCTCTTTTTCCGTCTTCCCTCCCTGAATAATTTTCTTTCTAGACTTTTAACACAACACTCTTCTATTTCTCATATTTCACTGCTGGTTTCTTCTTGGTCTCCTTTGCTGTTTCTCTTCTAATTGTGGTCCTGTCCAGTACTGGGCTCTCTGTCTACACTCTCTCTTTCCTGGGTTAGTTTTGTCCAGTCCTGTGGTTTTAAAATAACCATATGCTCCTGATACCAAAATTTATAGCCTTAACCTCTACCCTGAGTTCATGACATATATTTGGTACCACTTTTTTATCAATTCTACTTAGCCTCTCAAACTTAACATGTTCAAAACAAAATTACTGATTTTTCTCCTCAAAATCAGTTCCTTCCTCAACCCAATGAAATGACACCACCATCCAGCCAGCTGCTTAGACTAAAAACCCAGAGGTCATTCTTGCTTCTCTCCACCTACCTACCCAATCCAGTCCATCTGAGGGATACTGGCTCCACCTCCAAACTATATCCCAGATTTGCCCATCTCTCCAACTCCAGTGAAACAAGGTCTTCTAATATTCTAGTAAAAGCTGAAAATTCAGAATACTGCCATTTGACATGGAAACTTATCAGCTACTGTCATTTAGTAAGTGTTGTTACTTTCAGAAACAAAGACCAACAATAACAACCTAATGGTACTTTAAAAATATGGAATATATGGCTGGGCACGGTGGCTCGCGCGTGTAATCCCAGCACTTTGGGAGGCTGAGGCGGGCGGATCACAAGGTCAGGAGATCGAGACCATCCTGGCCAACATGGTGAAACCCCGTTTCTACTAAAAATACAAAAAATTAGTCAGGCGTGGTGGCAGACGCCTGTAGTTCCAGCTACTCGGGAGGCTGAGGCAGGAGAATGGCGTGAAGCCAGGAGGCAGAGCTTGCAGTGAGGCGAGATCACACCACTGCACTCCAGCCTGGGCAACAGAGCGAGACTCCCGTCTCAAAAAAAAAAAAAAAAAAAAAGGAATATATAAACAAAAACTCAGGTATCAAAAAATTAAATATTTATTGAGCATCTGCTATGTGACAAGGCACTGGGGATACAAAATCTGAGTAAGTCACTTAAAGCTCTCTCTTATGAGGCTGGGCGCAGTGGCTCACACCTGTAATCCCAGCACTTTGGAGGTTGAGGCAGGTGGTTCACGAGGTCAGGAGTTCAAGACCAGTCTGACCAACATGGTGAAACTCCATCTCTACTAAAAATACAAAAATTTGCCAGGCATGGTGCCAGCTACTCAGGAGGCTTAGACGGGAGAACTGCTTGAACCTGAGAGGCAGAGGTTGCAGTGAGCCAAGATCAAGACACTGCACTCCAGGCTGGGCGACAGAGTGAGACTCCGCCTCAAAAAAGCTCTCACTTGTGAAAGGAGACAGTTAAAAACCGAATTGAATTGAATACAATAAGTACTATGTGAAGTAAGATACAAACTGCTATGACATATATGATTACATTAAAAATGTAATTGTGTATTTGGACCTCTAATTACCTGTAATAAAGTGACTGAGAATGAAAGGTGTAATATAAAAGAACAGAAGATCCTGCTAAGAATACCAGTAACCAAGCACACTGAATCTTTGAGGACCTTTCCTGAAAGATAAACAATTTTATAATGTTACTTTGATTTTGCCAGAATTTTAAATATCATTAAACTGTTTTACTTTAATGACTATTAACTTAGAATATTTTTCTAAATTAATCTTAATATAGAGTATCTGTTAAACTGTACATAATCATCACAGTTACTGTTTTATACAACTTTAGTGACCAAACACAACTCATATATTAAACAAATGTTTAAAATACAAGTTTCTTCACTGTATGAAAAACATTACCTATGTTTCAAAGAAGCCAAGTCTTCTCTCAAAAAAAAAAAAAAAAATGAAAATTAAATTAAATTTTAAAAAAAAAGAAGCCAGGTCTTCCACAAGCTGACATAAAGGACCCACCCAGGACGAGGGCAGTGGCTCACACCAGTAATCCCAGCACTTTGGGAGGCTGAAGTCAGCGGATCGTTTGAGGTTAGGAGTTTGTGACCAGCCTGCCCAACACGGTGAAACCCGTCTCTACTAAAAAAAAATACATAAGTTAGCCAGGCGCCGTGGCACATGCCTGTAATCCCAGCTACTCAGGAGGCTAAGGCATGAGAATCGCTTGAACCCAGGAGGCAGAGGTTGCAGTGAGCCAAGATCACGCCACTGCACTCCAGCCTGGGCGACAGAGTGAAACTCCGTCTCAGAAAAAAAAATGGACCCACCCACAAAAGAAAATTTCAAAATGCATTTTAACCTTGATTCACTTGTCAAGGTTTTATATTTTAAAAATTCCCAGATTATAAGAATTTAATAAATTAATGTTTTAATCTCACTTCTTTTTTTATATGGGGTCTCGACATATTGCCCAAAACTCCTAAGCGCAAGCATTCTTCCCAACTCAGCCTCCCAAGTAGCTGTAATCTCCCTTTATTTTTTTTTTTTTTTGAGACAGGGTCTCACTCTTTCACCCAGACTGGAGTGCAGTGGCATGATCACAACTCACTGCAGCCCCAACCACCTGGACTCAGGCAATCCTCCCACCTCAGCCTCCCAGATAGCAGAGATTACAGGCACATGCCACCACGCCCAGCTAATTTTTTGTAGAATTGGGGATTTTTGGCCATGTTGCCCAGGCTGGTCTTCAATTCCTGGGCTCAAGCAATCTGCCCATCTCAGCCTCCCAAAGTGCTGCGATTACAGGCACGAGCCACTGTGCCTTTCCTGTAATCTCACTTTTAAAGTCAAGTTTAATGAAGTTTACTAATTTCAGATCATTAAGATTTCTCTAGTTTGACAGGTTTAACTATAAATTTCCAGGTCAGAATGCATACTTTACACAGGCATAGCCATTTAAAGTTGCTTAAAGGTGAAATTTTAGAAACTCATCCTATTTTTCCCAATGATTTATATGACTAGGGCTCGTGTAACTTATGTTACGGAAAAATTCCTTGGGTTTAGTTTTCTTTTCTTTTTTTTTTTGAGACGGAGTCTTACTCTGTCACCAGGCTGCAGTGGCACGATCTTGGCTCACTGCAACCTCTGCCTCCTGGATTCAAGCAATTCTCCTGCCTCAGCCTCCCAAGTAGGTGGGTCTACAGGCAAGCACCACCACGCCCAGCTAATTTTTGTGTTTTTAGTAGAGATGGGGTTTCACCACATTGGCCAGGCCGTTCTCAAACTTCTGACCTCAGGTGATCTGCCCACCTGCGCCTCCCAAAATGTTGGGATTACAGGCATGAGCCCCTGCGCCCAGCCTAGGTCTTTTTTTCTTTTTTTGAGACGGAGTCTTGCTGTGTAGCCCAGGCTGAAGTGCAGTGTTGCGATCTCAGCTCACTGCAACCTCCACCTCCCGGGTTCAAGTGATTCTCCTGCCTCAACCTCCCGAGTAGCTGGGAATACAGGCACATGCCACCATGCCTGGCTAATTTGTTGTATTTTTAGTGGGGACAGGGTTTCAACGTGTTAGCCAGGATGGTCTTGATCTCCTGACCTTGTGATCTGCCCACCTCAGCCTCCCAAAGTGCTGGGATTACAGGTGTGAGCCACCATGCCCAGCCACTAAAAGTTTTTAATGATGATATTACTTAGTATGGTCAAAGTAACTCATACAATATGAAAGGACTTACCAAATCAGATCAAATCGTGTGTTCTAGCTCTTTTAATCCTTTTTACTACTTTTTCTTTAACAGTAACCAATTTTTTTTTTCTTACAAAGAAGGTAAGGTGAAGGAATTCAGCATTAGGAGAGATAATTTATTCCAGGATTTAGATAACAAATTTAATATATCATGGATGTTACAATATATCCCATTACTTCCTATTTCTTTCAAAAGTTATTTCCTATTTCTCTCAAAATTATTTCTCTAAAATCTATGGAGAGAAACAGTTAATAATTTTTTAGTTGCTTGTTATACTTACTCTTAGAAAAACCTGATTTACAATGCTTTTGTTTGCATACATAAAAGTTGTTAGCAGCCCAATTCCAAGAGAAATTCCTGTTAGAAAATAAGTTCCAGTTAATTGAAAGAAAAAAAAATCAAAGAGGATTATATAAACTAACAACATAAATTAAAAACATACACAGTAATAAAAGCTAACAGAAAATAAGTAACTGAATGCATTAAGTAGATTACCAATAATGAAAGAAAATTAACTGAATTTAGGAATGAAAACAAGTCAATTATGCCCTACCTGTTATATGCTGCATAACAAGTTTGACACTCAGAATCAAAATATATGGAAGACTTTTTTGCAACCACTTGAAGAGATAGCGGAATTCTGAGAAGGAGCTACTACCATGATCTCCAGATTCTGCGGCAGTATCATCAGGCAGCCTTGCTTCACTGTGGGAGTGACCCCGTAAGCGACTGTGTACGCATCCATGGGCACAGCTATGGACACCTGACCTTGTATTTCTGGAGCCTGTATTTTCTGCACATTCTTTAGGTATAGAGTTTATCTGGATATGAACATCTCCAGAATGAAGACAAGACCCTTCTCCTGTCAATCTTGTGTGGACACACTGAGGGGTTGAAGCATCCTCACTGCTTCCAGTTCCTGGAGGACTGTGCAGTTGGCTACGATTGGCTTGCATGGCCCTTAAATACTTTTTCTCTGACCCAGATGTCTTTGCTTCAGGGCTCTGTCTCCTAAAAAATCAAATAGAAAATACTCTAAGTAAACAGGCAGTTAAATACCGTCAGTATATTCCTCACTGGGTATCCTTTATTCACTACAGGAGTAGCAAATAATCACAGCAGATGAATTTTCAGGTTATCTATCACTGGAGTCCTCCTTTCTCCCTTAATGCCAAGGCTCTGCTGCCCTACACAAATGATCTTTTAGGGAACATTTGCTACCAAAAAAAAAGTTGAGCTGCAAATGCTTTCAGTTCCCTAATGGCAGAAGGCATCCGCAAAACAGTCATGAAGTATGGGTGCCCAGCAGATGTTAATAAGCATCAGTCCTCACTGGATACTCTGGTACATTTACTTTGCCCAACTGGAGCAGTTTCATCTCTGATGTAGCTTCTACATCAAAGAAGTTTCATAAGGAAGAGTGAGTCAGTATTTTTTAATGGTTGGAAATGTTAGGAAGAAAAACGACATTAAATCTTAATGCCTTACTATCATCATAGGTAACTAATAATAAACACTGCACTTAGGTGACCTACAAATTACATTTTCTGCTCAAGCAGCTTTCCCAAAGCTCATAAAGTTTCCAATAATTAATAGTGCTACCAAGAATATTACCTCCCCGCGCAAAAGAATGTTACCTAAATACATTTAAAGCATAGATACTGTGGGGAGTCACCATGTAATTGCTAGGTAACTCTTTAGTCTGAATAAGCACAGTTACACAGTCGACCTAATAAAATGCCACCGTCGGTGGTGTATGTATTACGGAGGGAGGGGTGTGAGGAAAGAGGGCCTTAGCAGAGAAAGCTCTCTCTAACAAATGATCCAGTGTGGACCTCCTGGAACCAGAAGAACAGAGTGGGCATCCCAGCTGACAATACGCAGAGCCTATCCCACGCCGCCGTGCTTTTCCCGTTTGTCTAGGAGTAGGCTAGAGTTCACTTCAGGGAATGTTCTGTGTCATTCTATTTCACTCCCAGGACTGAACAGTGGTGCAGTCACCGTGTCTGGCGGTTTGGGTTTCAGTGCTTTTCACTAAAGGCTTTCACCGAGGCCCCGACGCCACGGGTGTTATTTCGTCAAAACTCTGAAGAGCGACGTTGGACAGCAGGGTTTCAGTGTCTTTTCTACAAATAACATAGAACCCTCCCACTTTCCTTCATGCACAGACAAGAAAGAGGAGAAAAAAGGGAAGAAAAGTCAACACAACTCTTCCGGAATCTCCGAGGGCAGAGTTCTCCACCCACGTCCGAGCCTCGAGTGCCTATTCTCCCCAGAGCCCCCTGCGCCGCGGCCCCTCGCCGCCTCCTCCTCTGCCCGCTTCCCCCAGGCCTGACCTCTCATGACGAGAAGCTGACGGAGGTGTCGGGAGCGACAGCAAGAACAGCGGCATACGCCGCCTCCAGCCCTTCAGTCGCAGCCATCAACCGCAAACCCCGCAAACTCTTCTCTCAGCCCGGCAGCGTCGGCGGCGGCGCGCGCGCTCCCCGGACGTTCTCACGCGCGCGCACCCTGCCCCTGCTTCGCCTCCTAGCCCCGCCCCCGCGCCGCGCCGAGAGGGGAGCTAGCGGCTGCAGGGGTCTGTTGGCTGCGAGAACAAGCGAGTTGCGCAGGAGAAAGACCTGCAGGCCTGGCGCTAAACAATAAGTGGTTGTTACGAGTTATGTATTTATGTGGCATCCACCACACGCCTCCGAGATCCTGGGCGTTTTGAGGTTAAAAATGTTCAGGCTTCGAGAACCAACCCCTGGAGGAGTGTTAGGGTTTCCGGGCTCGGGCGCGAGCTTGACGCTTGACCCAGTTGTGTCTGTCTGGGCGGTGACGTTTGGTCTGAGCTGAGCTTTCCTCACAATCGTGAAGTTGGTCTGTGAGGATCAGGCCTCGCCAGACAGATGAGAAGCTAGAGGTGCAGGGAGTCTGCGTGGGGTGGAAGTAGAAGTTAGAGTTGAAAAACCTGTCTTGTATGGGGTATAGAGGACACTACTGCCCTCAAAATAATTATGTTAATCTAAAACTGTTCTAAAATTAAAAGGTTATTAAGAAAACGAAGTTTAGGTCGGGCGCAGTGGCTCACACCTGTAATCCCCGCTACTTGGGAGGCTGAGGCATTGAACCCGGGAGGTGGAGGTTGTAGTGAGCCAAGATCATGCCACTGCACTCCAGCCTGGGCAACAGAGTGAGACTCGGTCTCAAAAAATAAAATACATAAATAAATAAATTCTGTTAATCTAAAACTGTTCTAAAATTAAAAGATCATTAAGAAAACGAAGTTTAGGCTGGGCGTGGTGGCTCACACCTGTAATCCCAGCACTTTGGGAGGCCAAGGCAGGTGGATCACAGAGTCAAGAGATCGAGACCATCCTGGCCAATATGGTGAAACCCTGTCTCTACTAAAAATACAAAAATTAGCCGGGCGTGGTGGCCAGGGCCTGTAATTTCAGCTACTCAGGAGGCTAAGGCAGGAGAATCACTTGAACGCGGGAGGCGGAGGTTGCAGTGAGCCGGAATTATCCACCCTGGCAACAGAGCCAGATTCCGTCTCAAAAAAAAAAAAAGAAAAAAGAAAAAAAAAGAAAAGTGAAGTTGAGGCCTGGCGTGGTGGCTCACCCCTGTAATCCCAGCGCTCTGGGAGGCCGAGGCGGGAGGATCCCTTGAGGCCAGGAGTTTGAGAGCAGCCTGGCCAACATGGCAAAACCCTGTCTCTACTAAAAATGCAAAAATGCAAAAATCAGCCGGGCTTGGTGGCGGTCGCCTGTAATCCCAGCTACTCGGGAGGCTGAGGCAGGAGAATCCCTTGAACCCGGGAGGCGGAGGTTGCAGTGCACTCCAGCCTAGGTGACAGAGGCGACCCCGTCTCAAAAAAAAGAAAAAAATTGGCTTTCTTTTTTTGTTGGGGATGGGGATGGGCGGCAGTGGTGGAAGGCATACTTAAGTCTCTCTGTGCTTACTAATTTAAATCTTTCTGACAGATTTCTGGGTCAGTAAGGGTGAGAGCCAGGCTCCAAACTATAGTGAATTTTCCGAGGAGATTTGTGTAAGTATTCTAACGTTTCAACTATGTCGTGGATATTTTTAAACTTTAAAATGTGTGAAAATTTAGGAAACAGGAAAGAAAAAAAGAATATCATATAATTCAGCCACAGCCACAATGGAGCACCAGTATGTATTAGTACACTGATAATTTTGGTACGTTTGGTACATTTGTAAATTTAGAATACCAAATGTAGTGTTTAAATTCTCATCTTGGCGAGACACTGTGGTTCATTCCTACAATCCTAGCACTTTTGGAGGCTGAGGTGAGAAGATCACTTGAGCCCAGGAGGTGGAGAGCAGCCTGGGCGACATAGAGAGACCCTGTCGCTAGAAAAAAAAAATGTTAAAATTAGCTGGGCATGGTGACAAGGGCCTGTAGTCCCAGCTACTCAGGAGGCTGAGGTGGGAGGATCCTTTGAGCCAGGGAGGTCAAGGCTGCAATGAGCCGTTATTGCTCCAGTCTGGGGAATAGAGTGAGACCCTGTCTCAAAAAAAAAAAAAAAAAATTTCTCCTGTTAACATACTCCTAACACTGAAGGTATATTAAAAGTTTATTAGTGCACTTGGAGCTGCATTTCACCTAAGTAACTTGACTGAAACGTGACATATTTGAAGAAAGAAAGTACTGAATTGATAAAATTTGACCTGGTGACAGGCGTTATCTGATAAATTTTCTTTTCTTTTTTTAATTTAAGTTTTAGGGTACATGTGCACAACGTGCAGTTTTGTTACATATGTACACATGTACCATGTTGGTGTGCTGTACCCATTAACTCGTCATTACATTAGGTATATCTCCTAATGATATCCCTTCCCACTTTCTTTCCACTGGCATCTGGACTGTTGGAAATAGACATTTTAATTTTAATTAACCAATTCAAAAAGCATTCGCCAATTACTTACTGAGTGTTAAGAATAATACTAGATATTGCAGAGAGAGACATAATAAAGAGTCTCAGGCCAGGCACGATGGCTCACACCTGTAATCTCAGCACTTTGGGAGGCCAGAGCAGGTAGATCACTTGAGGTCAGCAGTTCAAGACCAGGCTGGCCAATATGGTGAAACTCCATTTCTGCTAAAAATATAAAAATTAGGGCCAAGTGCAGTGGCTCATGCCTGTAATCCCAGCACTTTGGGAGGGTGAGGCAGGCGGATCACCTGAGGTCAGGAGTTCAAGACCAGCCTGGCCAACATGGCGGAACCTCATCTCTACTAAAAATACAAAAATTAGCCAGGCTTGGTGGTGTGCGCCTGTAATCCAGCTACTCAGGAGGCTGAGGCAGGAGAATTACTTGAACCCCAGAGGCGGAGGTTGCAGTGAGCCAATATTGTGCCACTGCACTCCATCCTGGGCGACAGAGCAAGACTCCATCTCAAAAAAAAAAAAAAAAACAGTTTCCATCTCATGGTGATGGAAATGGTTAGACCTGAAAACAAATAATTACAGTATTTTGGAGAAAACACTATAATTGAAGTTTCTGTGAGATGCAATGGAAGCAAAAGGTAGAAGCATTTAACTTTGTCAGGCAAGAAATCTTTTATTAAATTTGTTATATTTAAGACGAGATCTTTTTTTTTTTTCGAGACAGAGTTTTGCTTTGTTGCCCAGGCTGGAGTACAGTGGCGCAATCTTGGCTCACTGCAGCCTCTGCCTCCTGGGTTTAAGTGATTCTAGTGCCTCAGCCTCCTGGATGAAATCTTAAGAATAAGTTGATATCTACCAGGACACAAGCAGTAGTAGGGCATTGTAGATAGAAACATTATATGGAAAATGGTGGTATTGAAATACCATGGTCCTTTAAGGACTGTTTCTCATATTTGGAAGAGTAGGGTGCATAGAGTAGTAAGAGGTAAGTCAGGTAAGTAGGAGCTAGAAAATGACCTTGTGGGCCTCACTTAGTAGTTTGTTCTAATGGCCAAAGGGAAGCTACTGAGTTTTAAGCAACAGAATTGTGTGACTGGATTTGTGTTTTTCAGAAAATTCATATGCTAATAGTAGGAGACTATTGTAAGTAGTTCAGGTACAAGATGAGGTCTTTAACTTGTCAGTGAAGTGGGATTCAAGAGGAAGAATGAGATTGGAGAGGTTATGAAATAGAATCAGTAGGGTTAAGTGTCCTAGATTGTTGCAGTTAAGCTCCGTCGCCCCCTCCACTACCCACACCAATTTTTCACACCTACCCATGTCCAGAACCTTGGGTAGCCTCCTCCCAGACTGATTTAAGTGATTTGCTTTGACCCTTGGGACAATAGCAATTGTAATGTTAGTAGAGACTTGAAAAATTCTTCCACATTGGGATTCACACTTTTACTGCTGGCAACCGTTTGCCACAATTTGATTAAATCAAGGCTAGCCTCCTAGAAGATAAGACCACTTTGAGAGTGTCCCTAGTGCTCCCAGCCTTCCCAGTTGTCTCAACATTCTCAGTTGAAGCCCCAAACATATGTGTGAGGCCATCCTAGAATGAGCCAGTCTACACATAGAATTATAGGAAATATAGATTCTCTTCTTTTTTTTTTTTTTCTTCCTTTCTTTTTTTTTGAGATGGAGTCTCGCTCTGTCACCCAGGCTGGAAGGCAGTGGCCTGATCTCAGCTCACTGCAACCTCTGTCTCCTGGGTTCAAGCTATTCTGCTGCCTCAGCCTCCCGAGTAGTTGGAACTACAGGCACCTGCCACCATGCCCAGCTAATTTTTGTATTTTTAGTAGAGACGGGGTTTCACTATATTGGCCAAGCTTTTCTTGAACTCCTGACCTTGCGATCTGCCCGCCTCAGCCTCCCAAAGTGCTGGGATTACGGGCATAAGCCACCATCCCTGGCCTATAGATTATTTTCTTTTAAGCCTCTAGGTTTGGGGCAGTTGGTTTCATAACAGGATTAACTGATAGCGTAACTAACCAAGTATATGGGGCAGGTAAGAGGAATAGTCTAAGACAAATCTTCATTTTTTAGCATGGATAGATGGATAAATCAATATTGGGAAGTTATATTAGAATTAGTAAATTGGTGGCATTACCAGATGAATAGGGAATTTTTCTGAAAGACCAAGTTTGGACAGATATCAATAAATTTGGCTTGGAAATACTGAGTCTTCGGAGTTCCTGGGAAACATACAGGTGAAGATATCCAGTTGGCAATTTGATGTAAGGATCTGGAGATAGAAAATTTGAAGTAAAAGCTGTGACTTTGAATAACATTGCCTATTTCTCATTTATGCATTTTCAGAGCCTTTTTTTGTAGATTCTTTGTAGACTGTGTTGTCTACAAATAGAAACAGCTTCTTCCTTTCTGATGCCTGTGCCTTTTATTTCTTGCTTTATTGTGTTAACTGTAACTGCCAATGTGATGTTATTAATAAATTAAATAGAAATGGTGACAGTAGACATCCGTGCTATGCTCCTGATTTTAAGGGGAATACATTCAACCTTTTACCATTAAGGATGTCAGGATGTCAGCTGTAAGTTTTGCTCATTTGTTTGTTTCCTTTTTTTT